CCCCAAAACCCCAAAACCCCAAAACCCCAAAACCCCAAACAATATAAATTAGGTTGAACTTGAACATATTAAAAAAGATGAATAACACCAACCAAAATCTATTTGATCACGCTTTTGAAGACTCTATGCCTGATATTGACGAAGAGTTAAGTCCTAATCCTCTGAAGGAGTCCAATTGGGATCTGGAAGGTAAACAGAACAACCTTGTCTATGACAAGGGCTTTGTTAAGGATAAGAGTTCCTTTAAGCAAGAACTTCTTGATATTTTTGAGAAAAAGAAAACTTCAACTAGCAAGGTAGAAATTTTAAGTAATAAAATCCCTTCAAAATCGATTAAGCCTTCAAAGAAAAATCGGAGAGAAGCTCTTAAAAAGCTTTCGAAATTTTATAGCCTGAAAACACCTTGCCGTGCTATCATGAACAAAGAGCCTAGTTTCCATTTTGATGAAGATTCCAAGAGAAGTGTACACAACAATGACAATAGAGAATGGACAAGGAAGATTTCTTCTTCTAAAATCTTAGAAGTTCTGAGTAAACCTAACTAAAAGAGTTAAGGCTAAGGGAAGCATCTCCCATCATTGTTAAATTCTATAATTTCCCATATAAACTGTTTTCCATTTTACGCATCTTGAGTAGCAATTTATTATGAGTTTCTTCCTCTTTTGTTTTATTGATTGTTAGTGGGGTAGGAAACTACCTCATTCTTGGAGTGTTTGGTAAGGCCAGGATAGCATTATTAGGTAAATAACCTTCTCCGGAGAAAAGACTGTCAACTATGACGGTAGACCACTATGAAACCATGTTGAGGCTGCTTTAATATAAACCTTACTTTTATAGCCCTTCAAATAATTTTATCCTGAATGCAATAAACATCTGAGTATCTAAAATGCACTTGTAAAGCTTATACTCTTCTAAAGCTAATAACTTTTAGTCAGAGATCCTTATCTCTAATATTAGTTATTATAGAACATTGTTTGCAATTTGTTGGAACCAAAAGAGGTGTTTGTTTTCTATAATTCTTCTATTCTGCATAATTCTAAAAGACAAAGAATGATGTCAATCCCAACACCTTGCCATTTATTGAGAATAATAAAATGGCTGCTCTTTTTGAATGTCAACCAAGTCCTTTAAATCAGAAGTCAATTTATGGTTTAAAAAGTGTGCATACAAAAGAAATCAGCTAACCATATTTTTCACGGTAAAATCATGATGGAAATATCTAAATTTTACCAGGAAGACCGCTTAGGCCCTTCCGCTGATTAGGTATGAGAGATCTTGCAGGTTTAGGTGAGAAGTTATGCTATAAAATGAAATGTTCATTATATAGCCTTTTTCTATTCAGATTTTAATTTGGTAGTTTTATTTCATATTCCAAGAAAATGAGCAATTAGGATAGAATGTAACTGAGACTCTTAAACTTTAGTTATCCTTTGTCCTTGAAGCTTCCTAAACTAGCTGGAAATTTTATTTATATAAACTTTGAGTTATATAGCAAGAATTAGAAGCGGGTAGATTAATATAAAGTTTGCTCATTTTTCGTTTTGCTACAATTATGAGTCAACCGTTTTAATGATAATTTGGAAAGAAATCATTAAGTTATTTAAATAAGCCTATTGGGCAAGAAATTTTACTATTCCGAGAAGAAAATCCTTTAGAGGAGAATGTAGCTCAAAAGTTTATAATTATTGGAAGACTAGTTTTATGCTTTAAAATTATCTATATAGCATTGTGAACAGGTTTTTATAAATTTAGATAGAAGTTTTTGCAGATTTTGAACCTAAAAGGCTCAAAAATTTCTTGGGTTTCAATTTGTTAAATTAAGAGCATAAACCTAATTCTATTAAAGCACTTGATTGCTTCTTCAGTCATATGAACTACTAAGTTGATGGATGCGTGCTCATATGCATGATATGTATCAAAAACAAACAGGTTTTATCAGCATCTAAATTCAATGGAAGCTACCAACTCCATACTGCCAATGTAAAACCCAATGAAATAGTAGACTTAGATGGCCAAGGCATTTTTCTATGTTTATCTCAAAGTGTTAGCAATGTTTTAACCAAAGAAGAAGTTTAAGATTCTTCCTAAAAGCTAGCTTATTGATGAGATAAACCATAACAATACCTGTTAATTTATAGAGCTATTATTATTAATCGAAGAAAAGTCCTTCTAGAGCCAGTTATATAGGTTAAGACGAAGTCAAACCATCTTGTTGCAACTGTACTCAAATTGACATAGGATGGGTTATTATTCTAAAGCTTAGAACTGATTGATGGGGAGGCTATCTCCTCTTCTAGTATATTAAGAGTGCACTATATGTATTCTTTTATACTTCTTCCTTGCTTAGTTATTCTTAAAAGTTTGAAATGAGCCAGCCTATTCTCATGTTTAGATTTCTTTTGTTTTAGTTTTCCTCCTCATAAATTAATAAAACTTGGTATTTGATATGTACTCATGGATTTCGGTGAATTGTGGATTTTATAATTAAATCGAGGCTAGCTATATATAAAGCAGCCTAAGTTAAAATATATCGTGAATAAATAATAGAAAGAACTCTAAAAGATTTGGTTTTTAGAGTTTTGTTCTTAAAAATACTTCTCAAGGGGAAATTTTGAGTTTGCCTCTATTTTTGAAAATCCCCATACTGGATTTTAATACAAAAGTTTTATTATGAGAAAATAAATTGAGGAGAAATAGACTGAAATAGGACTTTCAGAGTTGATGTTAAGCTCAAGAACTGCCGATTTGATGAATTTTAAATATTACTGTCTCTTTCTCCGACCTTAATATCTATGAAAATACTGGATTTATTAATTTTCATTGGAAATTTTTAATAAACTTCGTTTTTAATGCAACTTCTAATATGTCTATCTGCCATGGGAATGATTTGTGTGGTCTATTTCAATAAAAAGAAAATATAAATGATCTCAATTAATGATGCTGGCTCTCCTACCTTCTAAATATCCTATATTTGCAAGAATATTAAGGATATAGAAGGAGGAGGAAAAATATCATACTATTATCAAGCATGAGCCCATCAACTCTTACATTTCATTTCAAACCTAAAAGAAGGATGACACATTGAACTTACTCATCCATTAGTATATGCTAGATAACCTCTTCTTGAGGCATATTTTAGATATGCTAGCTTCCATCTTCGTTAAATTATCACAAATTGTCAGGGATCTTAGACTGTCTTAAATTAGAAGCTAGCCATCCTTCTAAATTTTTGCTGAATGACACGCTAGGATTCATAAATAACGATGGATGAATATCATCATCCGCTATGAAATAACCAATTGATTAAATTTAAGAGAGAAAAGAGAAAACTAGAGGCCTGAACTGTTCAGAGTTGATCTTGACTGTACTATTTAGAATACCACAACAGATTAAGCTATGAGTTGTTAATAGGAATTAACCGAATTCAATCTGAGGTCGATAAACCGGGGTTTTGGGGTTTTGGGGTTTTGGGGTTTTGGGG